CAGCTTGAAATGTGGAGTTTCACACTGAAACATTAATTTCTGTAACTACATCTTTACAGAATAATTGATTTTAGTGTCTTATTATTTCAAACTGAAAATAAATATTTCTAGAGAAAAACTCAAAAAAAATTACTCTCAAAAAAACTAAAAATCCATCATCAGTGCCCTCCACACAGTCACATTTTCATTTGAGGGGAAGATTGTAGACACAGTTATGCAACATCTTTCTCCTCCTTTGGACTGTCTTGGCTCCTGATCTCAGTCTAAAAATACAGTTATTTCAGTACCTAAATTTAATTCTTGCTTTAAACTGAGTGCATATGATTTAGGCATCATTCATGTTCCACCAACTTGTGTTTTCTCAAGCCAGGCATCCTTCTGGTATCACTGACAAGGAGACACAAATATTCCAGATGGGGGGACTTTCACATTTGGAAATAGCTCACTACATTCCTCATCTCTGCCTCACACCATATGACTCTTCAGGGTCTCCCAGCTGTCACAAAATCACAGAATAGTTTGGGTTGGAGGGGAACTTAAAGCTCATTGATTCAGGGGATTTGTATTTATTCTGCTCAACCATCACAGAATGTTTTGGGTTGGAAGGGTCCTTTAAGGTCACCCAGTTCCATGGGCAGGGACACCTTCCACTATCCAGGTTGCTCCAAGTCCTGTCCAATCTAGCCTTGGACAAACACTTCCAGGGATGGGACACAGCTTTTCTGGGCAACAACTAATTGAAGGACAGTGAAAGTCACACTAATCACAGCTATGGTTTTCTGGCATTCCATCCTCTGATTGCTCAGTCCATCCTGCCTGGGAAGTCCTCCCATTTTCCTTCCTTCCCTCCCCTCCTGCTCACCCCACCTCTCCAGTCAGGGTCCAGCTGTGCTGCTTTGCTCCCACTATTCCCCTAACACCTGGAGGTTGTGTCTGCAGTATCAAATTTGAAACTGGAGATGACAGAACTGCAATTACTTGAGCTGGAAGCTTCCAGCCCAACTGATTTGTCCTGCCATTTAAAAATCTCCTTGTTTCCAAACACGGTGGGCAGGGATGCAAACACACAGCCCTCTGGCAGGGGTCCAAGGCAGCACAGGGGATGCTGAGCCGCTCACAGCATCACAAGTGAGATTTTCCAGGGCTAAAAAAAGACAACAGTGAAATTGATGCCACGTTTTAACCTAGGGGTCACGAAAAGATGAGACAATATATTCACTCCACTTCAGATAGCCTGAAGGAATGTGACCTTTTCCCTATCATTTATAACCCAGACGGCTGCAATGAGCACCAAATCCAATTAGGGTGTATTTTTATTTACCTAATCTACCAGCAGATGGCCTTTAATTCTAAATTTTCTTAATTTTGGAAATCTGTTCAGGCAGAACTGGCAGCACACTCACGTTCCCCTCTCCACAGGGAAGGGTTTAATGACAGCCCCATGCAAGCTGCCACTTGGTTATTGCCTTCCTGGGCCTCTGCTCATCAGACCCTTCCCTTGTAATTAGATACATATATTTTCCTTTTCTTCCTATTGGATTATGAGGCATTTAAGGCAGGTGTCATCTTTCTGAGCTATGATTGTGCAGTATCTAGCAAAAGCAGAGGCTAACCCTTAGCTGGAGCTCCTAATCACTGCGGTAATGAAAATATTTCCTTTTCAAATGTAAATTGAAGACTCAGTTCTCCAGTACCTGGAATAACCAAAGGATAAATACCTCAAGTATAGAAAAAAATTGAGTTTAAAAGGCGGGTAATTTAAGCCGAACACAATATGCTTTTATAGTTTACATATAAAATTAAATCATTGAATGAAACCATGCTCCTTTGTTGTGTTAGCTTTACTGACCACATGCCCATGGAAAGGCTCAAGCTCATGGATTGAACTGAAAACAATCCCTTTTGTTTCAATTTTCGCCGTTCTTTAGGAACATTTTTGGATGGGATTTCCCCAAGAGAAAGCACCCAGTGCAGCCAAGGGTGGGTCAGAAACCTCCCCTCTGTCAGCTGCAGCACCTTCCAGCAGCTCAGGGCACCCAAAACACTGCAGCCTGCAGGGAACCACTGAGGCTGGGAAAGAAGCTCATCTCAAAGTCAGATCCCCAGACAGACTGCAACAAATACCTTTACTGCAGTCTGCAAAAACACCTTTCCCACTACTAACAGCTGCTGTGAGCCCAGGCTGGCTCCAACAGCCACGGAATGGGGACACATTCAGCACCCAGCCCTGCTCACCCAGCAGCTCCAGGAGCTGCAGGAGATGACCAAGCTGCTCCTTTTCCCTCCTCCTCTGCCCAATGGAGCCCAGCTGAAATAAGGCACCTTCACAAGCAAAACACACAGACACCAACAAATCCCTGTTTGCATAAACCTGTGTTTTTGCTAACCACAAAATATGGTATAAATTACTCAGAGACACTGTCTATTTTCCTCACCTTTTAGCAGAGCAAAACATGATTTACATTCTGTTTGTGGGTGAATCAAGTGAAATGCTTAATTATAAATAGCACTTGTAAATATCCTTTCAGCTGGAATATTTTTATTGAGAAAACGAGCAAGACCTTAATAATTATTTCAGTTACTAAACTTAATTAGGGCTGTTTCTCATTCCAGCTCAGGCCCTGTGCAATGATTGGGTGTAAATTTGCATTTACTCAATAGGGCCATGAAACACCAGAGAATAAACCATGGGTGGGTTTATTCTCCACCACAGTTAGGCATCCAAGCCCCACTGGCTGCAGAGGTGCTGTGAGAATGAGCACCAGCTCAGGATCTATCCCCCACTAGATACAAGAGGTCCCCAGCAAAAATGAAAATCATACCCATTAGTTTTATTTATGAGAGCTAAAACACACACTTCCTAAAGCCAAGTCTGCATCCAGCAGATAAAATATGTGTGTAACTTGCCACCAAGGTTATAGAAAGGTGGAGGACAATGTTTGTCAATGTATATAGGATTTTTTCCTCTGGATGTATCTTCTAGGATAGAGCATCCTCCACAGGAAATAGCATACAAGATATTAATTTTGTGCTTAGTTTAATTGCTCTGACATCCTGAGATGCTACCACGTTGGAAAGCACTAACCCACCAATCAAGCTGCATCCTTGAAGCCACCAAAACCTGCTAGACAGCAGGGAGCTGAGCAGCCACTCACTCACTCTTCCCTTCCCCAGTGGGACAGGGGAGAAAATCACCAAAAAAACCCCAAAAAACATAAGCGTTTGCACACACACACACAAAAACCAAACAAACAAACAAAAAAAAACAAAACAGAAAACTCACCAAAAATACAGGCCATAACAAACAGAAAACCCTGGTAGTGATGGAAGATGCCAAGACAAGAAACATCTCAGGCTACAGCTGTGTAACCCTACTGGCCTGGGATTGTAAACAGATTTGCATCCAAGGGTAACAAGGGCTGTCCTGACCTTATCAAATCAGGGAAAACAACTCTTTGAAGGCTCCTCTCCATCTCCTCTGTACATGGCTTAACCATGAGCAGGAGGAAAACCCCAGCCCTGATAAACAATAATTAATTAAAGGATTAACCCTTCTGTGATCAGCACCTTGGGAACTTCTTCCTTAATTTTATAGGGAATCACACAGGCTCATACCTAAAGACTTGAGGTGTACATGTAGAAGTTTGCACTGTGCTAAAGCCATAATATACTAAGCAGGATGTGAAAGAATATTAAAGATACACTGAATCAGATATACCTTGTGGTTTCACAAGATCCAAGACTACTTAAACCAAAAATAAACACAGCCAACATTGGAGAAACAGAAATTACCTCAGCATCACCTCTGGGTTCAGCTGCACCAACACAGCTATCTAATCAAAGAGGGGTTTTCCCCAAAAAGCAGCCAGCAACAGCTTTGCACAGATTTTTGCCTCTAGCCCTTGGTTAAAAATAAAAAATGGAATTATGCACTGTCTTAAAGCCATCCACCAAACTGATTCTCATGAAGGAAAATAAATATTGGGAGCTTTGCTGAAGCAGGAACTAATACCTGCCAGCTTGGACAAGCTTTAAACACCTCATAAAGCACCCAGCAGCTTCAGATACAGATTTCTGCTTTAGAAAACAGAAAGTACCAGAGGCAAATAATATTTAAAAAACCTAAACAAAACAACACGACAGTTTCAGTTCACTAAACCAATGTATTTGTATAATAGCCAGATAAGTTATACGAACAGAGAGACCTACTGATGTGCTGATTTGTAAGGTAGGAAAAAATCTACCATATAGTGATTATACAGCTGGTTAATTTAGGAAGAAACTTCATCTTTCTATTAAGAAAAAAGAATGCAATTATAATTTTGACATGAAACAATTTATCCCATACTTGGTATTTCTTTCTGTTTCTTGGTTTAAAGCCTCAAAATTATTTATCTTATTATTCACCTCTATGTTTGCTTTTGAAGAACATCTTTTTGTGCCTTCAAGCCACTTTACTCATTAGTTCTCTGGAGTTCATGTCCTATTTCATTATGTTTTAATCTTTACAGTTGTTAATTTGCATTTCATTTCCTGTTGTAGCAAAAAAAATTACTAACGAAAAAGTGTTTGTAAATATTAATACAAGTCAACTGATAGTCATCCAAGAAAGCATTTTGCAGCAATAGCAATTACCTATGTTTGAGGAAGAAAGCAGCAATTCAAGCAGCTACAGAGGCAAAGCACTTCAAGTTGAGGGTACAGCACCTTCTTAGAAGTGGAGACTGGACCATCACAGAACAGCACTTACAATTAGCAACAACTCGCTGAAAAAAGAACTTTCCCCCAGCAAAAATAAGACCTTTTGGGTAATCAGTGTCTAAAGCATGTTAGAAGTTGAGCTACATATATTCATCTATTGAGTGCAAGCAACTGCTTAACTAATACCATGATACTGACATACAAGCATTTGGAAAACATTAAACCAGGCAACAAACCAGAAAAATCCTGCACCAGAAGAACCAACAAACCAGGTAGGCCCAGCTTCCCTCTCCACATACCTTCCCTTTCATCCCTGGCTCCTGGCATTGTACCACAGCAACTTCAATTTTCACTTAGGGAAAGACACAGCTCAGAAGAGAGGAAATCCTTTCAACTCACTCAGATCTGGACCATTGCTCTGCAGGCTCTGAGTTTTGCTTTTGCTTCCCCAGGTCAGTTCAGCCATCAACAGGAAAATATCATCTCCAGAAGTGATGCCTTACCACCAGCAGCTCATGGTGCTCTGACACTGGATAATTATCCTCGTTAGATAAATAAAGGGCAGGATTGTAAATACACCTTCGTTTTAACAGGTGAAAGCACTCAGTGACTCCTAATGTGTGAGCTGAGCCCCAGCTCCACCTGGCTCCATCATTAACCTCCTACAGGTGCTGCAGAGGAGCTAGAAGGGAAGAGGGCAGCAGGAGCTGCTCATTAAAAAAGCTCCACAAAGGAGAAAGCTCAGGGGCAGCCTTTGAACTTGCCTCTTGTAACTCAACTTGCTGGCCTCAGAAAAAGGCCCTGGTTGAGAAGGGGCTGACCCACAGAGGACCCCATAAATTGTATTTCCTGCCCTGGTTACTGTTCCATGTCCCCAGTGCATGGATGGGATCAGCAAAGAAACAGCCACAGGCAGTGGTGACAGTGGTGGGATTTTGAGCAGAGCCTTACAAAAGCTTGGTCCAGGCTTTCAGCTTCCCAGTGTTTGCAAGAGGATTGACTCTAATTCCTTCCACTTGTGACTTTGTAAAAGCTCCACCAACTCGCAGCAAATTGCCCATCAAAAGCCATTTCTCTGAGCAGCTCCTGTCCATCTGTCACAGCAACCTGCCCTCCCAGACACGCTGCCTGCAGGCAAAGCATGACAGCTAGATGGACTTAATACTCATAAAAGAATAAATGAGGCTCTTGTTTTTGTTATTTTGCTCTCCAGTTTCTCAGCTTTTCTGTGTTTCTGCAACTGTTCTGGTAGGGACCAATATCCCCCCACTCACACAGGTCAGGGAAGCTCTGCAGACACCGACCAAAGGAGCTGTGATCAGGACAAAATGTCCCTACTAAAACTCTCAGATCTTACAGGACTGCAATAAAAAATTAGGAGTTTAAACCTAGAAAAATATGATGAGAAATTTGAGATCATTTACTTTGATCATTAACTTAGAAAAGCCTTGGAGGTGATCTTGCAGATAAGCATAGTTCTCACAGAGTTCACTCTTGCAGGAGCAGGAAACAATTTCACAGGTGTTTCAACATCAAACTTATTCTGTGAACTCACCCTGTCCCCAAGACTGGGAGGAAAAGGGAGGGTGAAATTGGGAAGGAAGAAGTCCTGCTGTCCTGCAAAGCTACGGAAAAAACCAGAATTAGAGTGCTCTGCCAGTGGTGCAATTTCCCAAAGAACTGGAGAAAACAGGGTTGACCTAACAGGGACAAGAGCAACCTCCCATCAGAAAAACCCATTATACCTTTAAAGGAATAAAGATTGACAGCCACGTAGTGAGAACTGCTGCTAATGAATTCAAATAAGGAAGCACCCAGGAATTAACTGGAATTTTGCAGCTGCAGATTTCCTGCTGAGCAAAGTCAGCCTCACATCTGCCAGCTTCCTGCAGATAAAATTCCCTCCCTGCAAAACAGGATCTGTACCCAGCACATCTTCCAGATGGTCTGGCTTCCCTCAGTGCTTCTTCAGTGCCACAGCCTGTCCCAGGGGTGGTCACCCAGCTTCACTTCTACCAGCCTTCCCATGGAACAGCCCTCAGCAGTTTTAATGAGTTTTCACATCCCTTAAAACAGATTATCTTCTTGTTTCCAGAGGAGCTGAACAAACTCTCCTCTTGCTAGACAAAGTGTAGAGCAGCCCCTCTACAGTCACTTGAGTTTTGCTGGGATTTAGAGTGATGTAGCTGGAAGCAGGGAGGCTTTAGCTGACAGACAAAGTTTGGCAGAGCTGTCCCAGATTCTGCAGCAGCTGCTCTGATTCACATGTGAGAAACACACAAGAAAAAATGAATCAAAAAGGTAAAGGTATCAAACAAGATGAAACAAGAACTAAACAGAAGCACCCAGCCAAGCTTTAGGCAGAAAACAGTCCCATCCCTGGTTTATGATCTCTGATCTGTGTTAATTCTTCTTCTCCCCCTTCCCAAGCTCATTCAAGAAAACCTGGCACGAGGGATGATGCACCAGTGCCATGCAAAGATACAGCACTGAGCAGGAAACCAAGGCCCCCTCTCTGGCCCCCTTTAATGTTAAGAGAATGCACAATATCCATCTTGATCATCCATCTCTTTTTTTCTTCCTGCCTTCCTCTCTTTTTTCCTCCCTATTCAAATTATTTCCATAGATCCTGAAAACTTGGAAAACAGCATTGGTTTTTAAGCTGCTGACAGCAGTCCCAATCCTTCTTACCCCCATCCTTTCTTTGTTTCCTGCTGGACTCAAACCCATCCCTGGCTGGCTGCTGTCACTTGTCCTGTTGCTGGCTGCAGGCTCTCCAAGACAACTTTCCTGACCTTGGACTGGGCTTAGTGAAGTTCTGGATCATGACTAAGGCTTGAAACACTAAGAGACTCTCAACTAGAACAGATTTCTGCAGTCATAACTTCCATCATAAAAAGCACCTATTTTGTAATCACCATGAAATTCTCCTTTTTCTGTCCTTGCTGCTGTGATACTCAGTAGTGCAGAATTATACCTCAGCAGTGGTTTTCACTGCTCAGGTTTAAACTCAAAATGCTGCAGAAAGTTGAATTCCCTTTGAACCATCTTCCCTCCAAGCTGGTGGAAGGATGACCATGATCCTCAGCAGATGGTGTGGTCACTGAGCTTGGTAGGAAGCAGCTGCAGCCCCTCCCCATCAATATCAGTCAGGCACATGGTTTGACTTTGGCTCCCAAAACAATCATTAGTAATGATCCATCAAAAAGTTTTTTGATGAGTGCATGATAAAAGTAAACAGGACATGGCAATAACCAGATTTATTTATAGCCAGGTAAAACACCTCTGTTGTCAATTTTACAAAGTGACTTTGAAGGAACTTTCTAAAGGGGATATTGAGAATGTTTCCCCCCCACACCTGCAAACAACCATAACCATTATTGATAGCATTTCTAGAATGGCAGGTACAGAGAAACACAGACTGTTATTTTGTGTCAAAATTGGTTTATGGTCCCATATTTTTCCCTTGTTTAAGGCAGCACCACTCATTCACAACATTAAACAATGTGATTTATGGACTTTAGCAGAGCTTACTACATTTAAATGTTTTAGGCATTTCATTTTTACAACGTACCTTGTTCCAATATAATCAATGTGCTTTTTTCTCGGGCTGTGATAGGAATGCAGTTTGTGTTTTATAGCAAAATCAATATAAGAATTAATGGGTGACGAACAAAGTAAATTGTAAAAAGTGCAGCGAGGTTGTGAGATCTCTTTGGCTGTATTGATTCCATTAGCATGAGGTTGCCCAGTTGTACACAGTTTCATATTTGATAAGCAAGCAGCAGACCTCATATTCTGTGGAAGAGAAAATGGGCGAAGTTCAGCCCTGGAATAACTATGCCAAAGTCATCGAGGTTAAAGCAAGAATGGAGACGAGCCAAGGTGGCTGCTGAAACACAATGAACTTCAGAGGCAGCAGCCATAAACATCAGATGGTCACAAACGGTGCCACTGACTTTTATTAAAGGCTGTGATACTTGAGAGATGACATTCTTGGCTGTTTTATGCTGCTGCTGGCTTATATGTCTTTTAATTAATTCCAAAAAATGATGAGAGGAGAATGGTACTCCCAAGGTTTTTTTTGCAAGTAGATGAAAAGCAACATTTTTTTTTTAAATGCATGCAACCTAGATTTCTTGTTAAAGACAAGCAGGGAGGAGCTGTAGCAAGGTACAAGCAGTGTAATGTGGAACAGATTTTTTCTTTCCTTTGACGTCTTTTCTGAATTTTACTCTTACTCTTGACAGGGGTGCATGTGCTAGGAACTGGAAAGGCCTCCCTGAAATAGCTCTGGAGTCTTCCTCCCCACTGAGGACTCATAGCAAAGCTCATTCCATGCTCACCAGGAGACAGAAAGGATCACAGCTCCCTGTGTGTGGGTGTCCCAGAGCAGAGCAGCAGCACCCGAGGCACAGGGGATGCTCCCAGCCCCATCCCTCCCCTGGCTCCTGCTCTCCCTCTGCTCTCCATCTCCAGCAGCACAGGCATGATCCTGCCAGGGCTTCCACCTCTGACAGCCTGGCCCTGCAGCACTCACACACTCAGCCTTGTGCAGAACTCACAGAGTGGCATCAAACATCTCTCCAAGTGTCCAGTTGTCCTGGTTTCAGCTGGAGGAAAATTACTTCAATCCCAGCCAAGACCAGGACACCGGTTAACTCTGACTATGACTTCACACTCCAACTCCAATTTCTGTTTCACAATCTGTATCAACAAATTGCAGTGATGCCCTTCCACCCTGAAAAGCATCTATAATCATTCTTATTCCAAATAACAGATTAGATGCATCTGTTCATGTTGCTACATTACTTTTCAAAGCTGTGACCAAACAAAGCAATTACTGCTCAAATCAGACTCTGGATACCTTCCATAACCAACAGTAAAGCTTTCTGGGGTGCTGTAGCATCTGTTTCTATTCTCATCTTCTCCCTTTCCTTTGGGAACCTTCTTTTCATTTCCATAACCATCAAGAGGTTTTAACAGAGCCCAGAAAACAGGTCCAAGAATGGTAGCCATGACAAACATTTTCTGCAAGGATATTATCCTCCAAATGTTCAAAATCATCCTTACATGGCAATTTTTTCCCCTCTTTGTTGTGGAAGTTTATTGCTCTTTGGATGTACTTGGAGCAAAATAATTTAATTATATTCTATTTCAAAACAAATTGTTGATACAGACTCAAAGTGTCAGTAATTAGATAATTTCACAGTGCACATTCCATTGCCACTGTCATACTTAGTGACTGTTTATTTGAAGAATCCTTCTAGCACTGCAGCTACCCCAGTATTAAATATAATAATAGATGGTGTGATTGGAAAGGTTCACCCACTGCTCTCATATTTAAAGTAATGAGCTCTCCTACTCAAACATGGAGATTTAGATGGCAAGGAATAAAATGCTGGCCTTAATGGAATTGGTAGTAAAATACTCATTGGATTCCCAGGGCTTAAATATAATCTGCTCCTTGCCAGCAAATATGATTGGTAACATAAAATAAATATTAAATAAACAGTTAGTCTGAACTCTATCCTGACTTTGAGTGTCAAGAGGGCTAGTGTAGGAAGACCCTGTTTGTTCACTCATGGATCCCTTAACCCAATTAAAAGCATGTTTACACACTCCAACTCTGCACAGCAGCCCCTACTGAAAAGCTTAAACAGCCTCAGATCTCTGTGAGTCTTGACCATCCACACATACCTGGGGATGGGGATAAGATCCCTCAGCAGGAGATGGGAATAGAAATCTTCTACCACACGTCCCACACCTTCCCCCAGTGTGCACTGGCAGGAGAGGGCAAACCCTGGCCCTGCTGTGGGAAGGTGCTGATATCCCAGCACAACCTTCCATGAGGATGCAGAGACCTGGCAGGGGGTCCCCATTCCCTCTTCTTGCTCCTGAGCTTCCACCTGCTGCAGTGCTAAAGTCACTGAGATTTTGTGTTGTTGCGCCATGAACTTCCTCTGGGCCATTTCTGGAGCAAAGCACAGAAAACTCTGCAGCACTTTCTAATTTAACAGAAGTTCCATTTTTTAAATATTTAATTTTCTGGTTTACTTTTTTCAAGAGAGCAAGATATGCAGATAATAGGTTTTTTTAATTATTCTATTTAAATACTGCTAACTAACCATCTGTATTTTTGTCATACCTGATTTTGGTTCCTTTTCAAGCTGTTGATTTTAAATACACAGAGCACTGCTTAAAACACACACAACCAAGCACAGTGATTGCCAATGTCATGGCATAGGATCTTACAATTCTAATGTTATTCAACAAGACATGGAGTAAATTTAGGCTCAGTTAGTGAGGCTGCTTTGAGGAAGCAGCATCTGAAATATCTGTCAGTATGTGGTGATCTCAGCCCCAAGCAAATGGAGCTTTCAAAGGGAAGCACAAGCATCATTATGGGATGGATATTAAAGATTGTTTACTTTCAACAGCCTTAGCTTAGCAAAGTGTTGGGTAAATAGAATTATCTATTTTTTAAAAAGGCCCTGTTCTATTGCTGAAGATGTGCACTACATCTGGAAATTAGAGGGAGCTCCATAAAAAGCTTTAGCTTGAGTCCAGTTACCCTAATGAAATAGGAGCCAAGGTCTTTATCTGAAATAGAGTGCTTCAAGAAATGTGTTACTGTTTATTAACAGTGAGATGCCTTTAATAGCCACAAAGAAACAAGCAAGGAAAACACACTCCATTTTCAGACACAGTTCTTCAAAATATATTGGGAGATGTTTATGCCCTACAGGCCAAGATTTATCCTTTTTATTTTAACTTAGGCATTCATTTGAGCAACAGATTTGCTGGTATTTCTGGTCAGCAAAATAATCTAATGCAGGTTCTAATGGCATGGGAGATAGAGGCTCAACTCCTTAGTACAGGGGCAACCATTCTCCCAATACATGTTCAGAACTGCCCATGCATTTTCTGTGCCTTTTGGTTTTGTTTTGGTTTGCTGCCTTTGCTGTACCCAGCCCCTCTTAGATGCCAGGTAAGAACCCACACATCAGCAAAAATGCAAAATAACCAAATTCACACTGCTTTTACCTGAGCCAAATTTTCCTTCACTGCTTATTGGTGCAGCACTTTCAGAGATTTAATATCTCTGAGCCTGCAGCTTGTGATCAAATTCAGGTGAGGCTGGTCAAGGGATTCAATAGGGCTTGGGCAGGAGGTGATGCAGGAAGGTACAAAACACACTCTCATAACTCCCATCTGCATTAAAAAATACACAAGGGAAAAGGAATCAAAATGTAAAATGCACAGAGGAAGGTTACAATAACAGCTATCTGAATATGCAGGATGTCTCTGCAGCCTCTTTTTCCCTTAAAGTGAGTAAAGAAACTGTCAGATAATGGCCAAATAAATCAGTCAGTATTATCAGCCACAGCTGCTGCCCGTGCCTGTGAAGTGCAGCATAAGCTCTGCCCCAAGTCTTAGGAAGCACTCCAAAATTCAGATTGTTCCTCACGAGGCATGCTGAGATCTGGATATCGTATTTCACTTTTTAATTAAAATATATTTTTCGCTCTCTATCTACATAAGGAAAAACAACATAAAAGTAATTGAGACTTCACATTTCACATGTCAAATCATGATAGCTTTTATTATTCCCTGGCATGCCAAATAAGTGCTTATAGCAAGATTCAGCATCAAAAAGCAAGCAACCTCCTTTCCAAGGATGACGGAATCAGGCTTAGATAAAATAGGAACCAGCTCATGCTCAGAATGAATCCTTATGTCAGGCTGCTGCACCTTTGCAAAGTCCTTCATCTCTCTAAAACATGCCATACTTCATTATAATATATGGGTAAATGCAACAGCTTCTCCAGGAATTTCACAAAAATTACCAAAGCAGACAGCATTCAGAAATGAATGCCTTTAGTACCAATGAGCAGGACTGAGCCATATAGTGCAGGCTGTAATGCCAAGGTATCATTTTTCCCTCCCGGGTATCAAGTATTTTGTTGCAGCCTTTTTGTGGAAAGCTTTTATTTTTGGGCCTTTTCTGACACTAATACAGTGTTAAAAAGAAAAGCATAAAAAGGAAAGAAAATAATGGAAGGCACTGCAGGTCAGAAAGGATACGAAACCACAGGACAGGCTGAGAGAGATGGGGGTGCTCAGCCTGGAGAAGAGGGGGCTCCAGGGAGACCTGAGAGCCCCTTTCAGTACCTAAATGTGCCACAAGAAAGATGGAGAGGGACTTTGTTGAGAGTGGAGTGACAGGGCAAGGGACAATGGCTTCACACTGACAGAGGTTAGGTTGGGCATTAGAAAGAAATTCTTCACTGGCACGGGTTATCCAGAGGAGCTGTGGGTGCCCCATCCCTGGAAGGCCAGGTCAGAGCAATCGGGTCTAGTGGAAGGTGTCCCTGTCCTTGGCAGAGAGGTGGAGCTGGGTGAGATGATCCTTAAGGTCCCTCCCAACCCAAACCATTCTGTGACGTTTCTATGATGCCATGTCACCAATGATGCAGAGCTGGGAGCTCTGACAGCACAGGGGCTGCTCCTGCAGCACAGGACAGGTGTGGTCCCCTATGGGATGGATTTCACAGGGATCCAGCCCAAAAACAAGCTAACTTTTTATACACACAAACATGAAAAACATTAAAAATGAACTTCCAACACATGTTTATTCTTATGAGGATTTTTAACACCCTCCTCTGTTGCTGGGTATAGGAACTCCACTGCCCTAGGATAGTGATTTCTTTTAAACCAGAAGGAAAAACTTGCAGGAATTGCAAGTTTAAATTAAAACTTGCAGGAAATGCAAGTCATAGTATAATTTAAAATGCACCTACCTCTGCCATGATGCCTTGACAACTGCAGAAGTAATTTGGCAATTTATGCTATGCAAACTTAGAAAATATGGGATTGAATGGTGCAGAAATAATGATTAGTGTAGTAAGGTTTTGAAGAAACCCGAGATCATTTTTGAGGAATGCTGAATATGCCGTTACCTTAGCTTAATGGAGTGCTTTCAAGTCTAAACAATTAATTTTCTGGAGATTTTCCACAGCTTCCTGAAGATCAGAGCACAATCACAAACTCCCAAGACCAACCCAATTTCCTCTCTGCAACAGCTTTTCAATTAGTCTAGGTAGAGTAAGTGTAGAAAATACAGCACTTATATCAATCTATATACCTTTACAAAAATTTCCAGAAGCAAATAAGTGGTGTCAAGGTTGGATAAATCATAAAGGAGAGTTATTGTACTGGATCTAAGACATTAGAAACCTTTTCAATTACTGACATTTAATTTCCTTATTATTTTCATTTGTTAGTTCCACCTCATTTTGGATATATTCTTTTATTTCACCATTAAATCTGTTTAGTTCAGAGCCATGATCAAATAGTATTTAAGGTCTGTGGGTAGCCAAGACATCAGACACTAAAAAAAAGTGATTAGAAACCCCACACTTAGCATGCTTTGTCTCATATCTTCTGAAAGGTTGTTACCGTAAATGCAAAACCAATGTGGCCTGACACTGGTGAAAGTTGGAAGAGTAGGAGACATAAAATGCATGAGTTATTTTTTACATTAGGTAGCAAACTGAGTTCTTCTTTAACCACTTAATTACCTTTGCCTGTCAGGAAAAAACATTGCTATGAAAATTAGTACTATCTTTATTATGGATATGTCCCTGAAGATGTTGATGCCCTGACGTATCCCCATGTACGAGGCCTGCAAGCAATGAAATAATTCCACCTTGTGAGCAGATGCAGGCTTTGCACCATCACCAAGGATTTATTACATATTTAATGGTCGTTACTCAGCATCATCTGCTCTTTTTATATATTCTCTATCAGCATACCCATTTTCGTCTTTCAGCCTTATTATCTTATGGATATGAACAAAGAATGTGTGATGGGCAGTGGGATATAAACCAGACCTAACTGGCCACAGGCAAGTCAAGCTCAGTTTCCCTGACTCAGGTAGAGCAGACTCAGCAAAATGTGTATTGAGTACATGACAAAGTTAGCACAGTGCCCAAGGGAAGGACAACCTGACACTTAAAGCAGGATCTGCCTTGTTTTACCAATTTTTGGATACTTTCAGACCCCTACATGCTGTTTGCAGCACCTCGGTTCTGCCCTCAGTGAACAAGGACATTCAAAGAATGGTTTGATGGGAAGGGACCTTAGAGAGCAGATTGTCCCACCCCTCTCCCCCAAGGGCAGGACAGCTCCCAGCAGATCATCCAAACCTGTCCAACCTGCCCTTGGGCACCTGCAGGGATGGGGCAGCCACAGCCAATCTGGGCACCCTGTGCCAGGGCCTCTCCACCCTCACAGGGAGGAATTTCTTCCTCAGATCCAATTTAAGTCTACCCTCTTTCAGCTGCACAGATCTCTCCTTTCCTGTAGGCTCCACACTCCAGAGCTGACGCTGCCAGACAGGAGGATGAGGTGGGAAAAAAATTAAAATTTCCTCATTGCTGCTGAGACTGCAGATACCCCTGTGAGGACAGGCTGGAGATGCAACAGCTCTCCACTGGTGCATCCTAAAATCCCTCACATTACCCCTCCTCTAAAGAATACATGGCTGGGAACAGGACACTTTTCCTTTTGCGATCCATTTGAATTCTTGAACTGGACGCTGCTGTGGGAAGGCAAATGCAACTTCAGTTACCTGTGGTGGCATTCCCCTATTACTTTTAGGATCCGTGTGACCTCCAAGTTTGGTTCCTAGTTACACCAGGAGCTGGTGCTCCTATGAGCTGGTTGTTTCTCTGGCTGGGCCAGGCATCCTGCACTCCAAAACCTCCATCTGAAGTTCAGCCTGTGACAGCAAGTTCTCACATTGTGACCTGGGTCACTTCTGAGCCCATTGCATTAGAACTGAAATAAAAAGGGGGAAAAAACAGAGATAATCGGAAATAAAAGCATAAGTAAATGATGTGTGAAAACGAAATTGCCATATCACAGCTTAGTGCCCAGCCCAGATCTGGGTATTATGGCACTTATGATACAACAAGCCATTGACTCATCAGCAGCATGACAGTTAACTGCTCTGCTGACAAGCATAAATCTATTCCAACACTATTTTGTATTATTAATTAGGAGAGGGGGGAGCAGTATTTGTAGCATATACTGGTGGCTCATCTACTGCCTAATGTGATAGGTTTTATTTGTCTTGAAAAATCATCTATTTAAATTGTGCATCAAGGTCATAACACATGGGTAGTTTCACTCACCGTGGCATTTTGATGGTGGCTGTGCTAGGTGGGAGCTCATATGCCATATCATTATTTCCCACACATCACCTGGAGAGGCAAATAAACTTTTGATTCATAATGGGAGCACAATGGAAGCAAGCTGAAAGCCTTCCTCCAACAGCTTCAGTCAAAAGTATTAGGAGTTAAGGTACAAGCTTGCAGAAGGATAACAAGATAAATCCATTCACACTCTACAGAAATATCTATCACTATTCCCCAATATTGCTACCTGTGTATGGATCTGATCAATATTCAGTATCAGCTCCACTTTACCCAGAGGCTGTGCAATATGCTAAATTAGCTTTTTCTATTACCATATCAAAGGTATGCTTGAAATTGAACATCACTGTAATTTAACTGAAATTACAGGCAGACCAGGTCTGTCTTGATCAGTTTGCAAACCCCTCTACATTAATCATATTAAAGACACTGCAGATGAACAAATCAGCAATGCAGGCAGAAATCTGGCTGCCTTGAAGAAAGTCCTCAAATGCCCCTGACACGGGGGACACAGGGAGGCCTGAATGTCACTGCAGGTGCCTGTGGGCCATGCCAGCACCATGGCTGTTGGAATTCAGGACATCCCTCTGGCTGTCCTGGATTGCCCAAACCCCTGCCAGGGGGCTCAGAGACCTTGGCACAGAGCCCAAGACACCTGTGACTTTGATTATGACCCATGGAAAAAATTTCCAACCTTATATGAGGATCTGCAAGCCACAAAACTCTAAGTAGAATAATAATTAGTTTGTCTTAGGGTGAAAAATAGATTTTGGAGGTTTTAGAATGGGGGTTTAGGAGGCAAGATGGAGGAATTTGAGAGTGTCCAGCCTTTCTCCTCCTTCTTCTTGGCCTCCATCTTCTGCTGTGATGTTGGCACTTTTGTATTGGTTTAAGGTAGAAGCTCACTGTCTAACATAGGTGATAGGTATTAGAAAGCAATTGTAAATAATGTACACGTAGTTTTTAGTATTAAAATATAACACCAGTGTGCCTCTGTCTGAGGCACAGCTGCTGAACAGACCTCAGCAGGCCAGAAGAAATAATTTTATAGATAGGATACAATAAACAACCCTGAGAATGAGAACAGAAGAGTTCTGATTCCTTTTTCGACCGCCAGGCTGGGAAAAGAGACTTTCTAACACATCTTGCAGTCATTGTGACCAGCAGAATCCCTGAGATCTTGGTGTCCCTGGTGGGAGAGATCCATTTTTCCAATGCCTGCCCACAGCTGAGGATGGTGGCTCTGTGCAGGTGGCTTCAGCCTTGCAGAGGGACTGGCGGGCTCAGACCATGCCCTGTGTCCCAGCACAGGGGTGAGGGAAGCTGGGAGAGCCAGGACAGGACATTCCCTGCACCCAGCTGAGCTCAAGGACAGGACATTCCCTGCACCCAGCTGAGCTCAAGGACAGGACATTCCCTGCATCCAGCTGAACTCAAGGACAGGACATGCCCTGCATCCAGCTGAGCTCAAGCAGCACCCACCCCTGAAGGATGAGGTACACACAGCCAGTGCCCTTCCTGACACCAAACAGGTGTTTGGTCTTGGTTCTGCCCATTTCTAAGAACAGGAGCTCCTGCCTTTGACTTCTCCAAACTTTGCTTCCCACCTCTTGTTTGGCTTCAGATATTTAATTTTTTTGATAGAATTTTCTTTTTTCTTTCAGTGACTTTCTTATACTCGGGATCTCTCTGATTTTGACAAACTTCAAATTATGTCCTTAAAATAAACCTGACAATCAGCAATATATAAATTATAATTTCCTTCTCCACATGCTTCAACTATTATCCTAATCAAGCAATCATGTCACTTCACTTATAGCCCCCAATTATCCAAGTCGTGCCCTGTTTGTATTATATCATCCTTATCTGATGGCACACCAAGCCACCTGCAAATCCTCAGGGCTAATGCAATCCTGAGTCCCTAAAGATTTTTCCCATTCTTTTGTTCTGCAAGTACTGATTTCTCTGTGGAGCAATGACTATTAGATGACATCCAGGTGATGAAAGGGCTTTCTTTACACATCCACCATTTTATTTGACCTGTTAAACAAGACCTAAAAGAAGGAAAGCATCACTCTGCTAAATACAGGTGGCCCAGGGTACCACTTGATCTTTAAAAGGAAACTCTAGCATCAAATGTCCTTGCTGGGATTGCCTGCACAAGCCAAGCTGGCAACAGTCACATGTTCTTGGAGACATTTTAAAAGAAAAAATTCTCTGTGGGATGGCCATACACTTGCCTGGGACATGATCCTCAAGTCCCCCTGCTCTTTATGATCCTCAGCTTATCCAATTTTCCATGGGATGGAGATGCATTTTCCTGGGACATGGTCCTCAGCTCCTCCAGCTGAGCTCTCCAGTGCTCTGAGCACCAGGAGCAGAACCCCTGATCAATGAAACACACTCTCCTGATTCTGCAGCCACAGCTGGCCACCCAGACCTGCAACTCTCCCACAATCTCTGCACAAGGGAAAACTTCCAGCGTGGAAACACCTCATTTGTATGCTTGGAGCCAGCCCACCTGCTCAGCCAGCACCAGCCTCCCTCCATGCATTATTAATGAGCAATATCAGTCTCCAGTTTTCAGTCAGCTAATTTGTTCTCACAGCCATGATTCCAAATATCACACAAGTAATTCATCAAGTTATTTTAACTGTAGTTAGATAAGGCCGTTAGCCATCATAAATTTAAATAAATTATCCTTTTTCACACATGGAGGTGCAAGAGGCAGAGCACCTTGGCAGGTGAGAAACACGCCTCTGCATTTCTGGTGACATGTAGAGTCCTGGGTGGGAATCTGTGTGGAAGTGTGCCCCAAAGAGCCTCTCCCTGCTCTGCAGCAGGGAACAAGAGCCAGCCCTGGCCTCCATCCCTGGGTCACCATGAGCACTTCAGATGGGAGGCCCCAGCCATGAGATCTCAGTGTCACAAATTTCCAGAGCTGAATGATGAACACACCCCAAAATTGAGAGTCTTTGCTTACCCCTACCCCTCAGGAGCTCTTGGTTTTCCCTCAGACACTTTATTTCATTTACTGAAAGCAAACACCCTCTTCCCTCACTTGCTCCACTCCTTGGAAAGAGTGATTTTACAGCAATTCTAGATCTCAGGTATACATTGCTCCTCAGGCTTTGCCTTGCAGGATCCCATTCAGTGCTTTGGAATTCTTTCTTTCTCCCCTATCTTTAAGAAAGAAGGGGAATCAATGCCAGAGCCCTGGGACTACAAAGGAAGAGGCACAGTCAGGCAGTATCTGTCACTGTCACCATCACCTTTGGCTTTGATCATGGGCACTCTCTTTGCTCTAGGGAAGAGGAACAGCTCCATGTCACCCCAAATTCCTCTGAGGCTCAGCCTCCCCCAGAAACCAACAGAAGAGGGTGAGACACTTCAAAAAACCCAGTGTGAGCAGCTGTTATAAGCACTGACTTTCAGACAAATAACCTCAGAAAGTGACATTTCACAAATGTAAATCACTCCTGACTTTGAACACACAGTGTGAGGAGCACCCTGTGCTGCCACATGGTCATGTGAGGGGTTGTCATGACAAATTAGCAACTGATTTTTGCAGAAAAGACACAAAGGTGTTGTATTTATTGCAGCAGGATGATGGCAAACAACTGTACATAATAGAAAAGGAATCTAATTTCAGAGAAATGAAATTACACCAATCTTAGTTTAAATTGCTGGGATGAGGTTGTTCCCAAGGATTTTAGATAAAGGTGCAGAAAATCAACAGAGCTGAGTGAGGTTTATAATTAAAAACAGGAGGAGACATTACAAAGAATATCAGACTTCGGGGTTTCTGGGACTAAGACACCCACTGTCTGTTAGGGGTTAGGATCAGGAATTGAGAGTACTGGTAGATTATCTAACATCTGCCTACAATGACACTCCTTCAGCATTTGATATTCACCACCATGAAAGAGTCAACACAGCCTGGAGTGGAGTCACTCAGGCCATTTTTAACATCCTTGCCTCTGCAAGGATGCTACTACCTCTGTGGGAAAGGTGTTTCATTTCTTAATATCACAGATTTAAACAAACAGTTTTAAATTAAATTCATACAAGTACAGAAGGAGCTTACTTCCAAATATTGCTTAGGAAGCACAGAGAATAAACAGGTCCTTTTCAATCTAATTGTCCAATTTATTAAAAAAAAAAGAAAAGGCAATGAAACATATGAAATCTCTGTGAAAGGGAATTAGCCTGTGGATTTGAATTATTCCCATTTCTGAAGCAAACAGAATGTTGGCTTCCTCGCATCTGTGGGCTACCCAGACAGATTCAATAACCTGAAATATTATGGGACTCTTCCTTCCTGTACACTGTTACACTGAATAGGCTGCAGATACGCATCAATCACTACATCAATCCTGGCAGTGCTGTTTTTAGCACATCTGTTCAGGAGGACAGTGAGGGACAGCACAGGCACTGAGAGGGTCACCCCTTGTCTTGGCTGGAGCCCCAAACGCCAAAGTGGGAGAGAACAGTCCTGGTGTTGGGTGACTTCAGACAGAGCCACCACCACACAAACTGGGCTGGAAAAACATCTCCCTAAAAATGGGAAATGTTCAGGGACTGACTCAGCCACAATCACCCTGCACACAGAGCAGCACACAGGGGCTTACATGTTCCTTTCTAATCCCTCCTGGTAACTCTCATTTTCCCAGACCATTAGTTTTGTCAGTCTTCAAAGGTCTTTTTCCTGCACCTCCTTCTTGTCACCTGCCAGGTCCTGCTTTGGCCATTCCCTTCTCACTCAAGTCTGTCTTTCCCTAATCTTTCCTGCTCAATCTCCTGCCCTTTCTCATCCGTAACTTTCTGTCCCAAGACACCTCAGTTCCATCTGCCCCAGGAGAGCTGAGAAATAGGGCACAATTTTTGACCCTGTTCTCCATTTCAGCCCCCCTTTTATCCTTCCACCTGTACCAATCTCTACTCACAGCTGTGTTTAATACTGCTTCCCCTCCTTAAATACTGCATCCAAAACTTTCCTGTCATTCCCAAGGTGCTGGAGGCACCCAGAGGTGCTAGAAACTCTGTCAG